GTGCGGGGTGGGGGGTGAACGAATTAAGTAACAAACAGATGAACAAGTAAGTGAGGTTTGGCAGGGGGGTGGGGTTCTGGAGGTTGGGGCAGGGGGTGAGGGTGGGTGTTTTGGGAGTGGAGGGGTTGAGCTGAGAGGTTTGGAAGTTGAGGCAGAGGATGGGGGAAGGGGGCGCAGCCAAAGGGGTTGAATGCATATCATGTGCGTGTGCTGCCCTGGACGCGTGTGCGCACAATTGCAGGGCTGCCTGGCTATTTGCAGACGCTGGCTGGCAAATGCAGGCGGGTCGCGCAAGAGTGTGACCCAGCTGACAACACCCACGCATACAAATAGGCCGATGCCCCCAAATTGCTCGTCACAGGCTTCATCCACGAAAGTGGAGTTCGATTGAAAAAACAAGTTGGAACTCGCCCAACTGAACGGCCCTAGCCCCTGCTAGCTGACTCATGAGTGAAGCTTCACACCTGCAGCCCCGGCACAAGCCTGTCAGACGTTATGTACATGAAGTGCCGCTTCAGCTGCGCCACGTCAGCGCTCTGGGGCACCTGGATGCTGCTCTGCCTGCAGTGGTTTTGCGGGTGAGGGTGGGTGGGTGGAGGCACCTTAGTTGGGTAAGGGTCGGTTGGACATGTGAGGAAAAGAGCCTGTTGGGGGGAAACAGTGCGTTTTCATCGCACTTTTCGCACAGGAATGAAGTAGTAGGTGTGGTGTGGCCTGCCACGCAATGGGAGAGGTGTTGTGCGCAGCCAGGAGGGGCAAGAGCGCACAGCTCGGCAGCGACGCGGGGCGTGCCAGCTGGCCGTGAGCTTCTCACCTCGCGCCCATATCGCTGTCCTGCAGCTCATCGGGCAGCTCGACCGTGAAGTTCACGGTGATCGCAGTCCCCGCCCGCTTCGCCGCCTGCGGCGCAATCGCGCGGCCACACATGCCCTCATCACAGGAAATGCATTCCCTTACGCTGCACCTGTCCCACTTGATTGGCCGTGATCCCCCACCAGGGCATGTGATTGCCTGGGAGCAGTAGAGAATGCGCGCGGGCGGCCAAAGCGCGCAGCAGCCCCTTTGGCGCCCCACCATCAGGGCCGCGTCGTCGCCCCGCCTTATGCCTTCCAGCTGCAGCCGCTCGGTGGCTGCGCGGCGGCGGCGGCGGCCGGGCGGCGGGGTCGGTGAGAGTTTGGGTGGCGCCGCGGGCTGGCGGCGGGCAGCCCTTGCTGCTGCCGCAGCAGGGAACCCAGCAACATAAGATTTCGGTGGAATGCAGCAGGCGGGAGCTTCATCACCCTGCTGCTCACAACAGCCGCGCCCCCCACGTGGGTCGCAACCGTGCCCAACAGCCCCTGAAAGAAGGGGGCATCGGCCTCCTCCCCCCCTCCGCCGTCCCCACCCTCTTCGCATGCGTGCGGCCCGCACCCGGCAGCGGCGGCGGCGGCAGCGGCTGCAGCGGCGCGAGCAGCGCATGCTCCCCGCCGACGGCCCCGAGCCCCGGCGCCAGCTGGCGCTGCAGCTGCCGCAGCTGCTCCTCATCCAACTGCAAGGGGACGGCCTGGCGCAGCGGCGAGGGCCGGCATGCGCAGGTCAGCGCACGTCATGCGTTCGCTGGCCACCGGGCAGCGTAGCACCGCCCATGTATGTGAAAATCATGCGTGCCGTACATGGCTGCGGGCGCGACATCTTCTTGGCAGCCGCCCCCTATATTAAGAGCTTGTTGATGCAACAGAGGGCGGAGCCGAATGCACTTGGAAGCTGAATGGATGTGCAGAAAAGTGCACCGCTCAGATCCACACACCCTGCTGCGCACGCGCACCTCAAAGGCGAGGCCGTCTGCCCCAACCAGGTGTTCAACGGCCTGCCCGCTCATCCCTGCGCGCGCGGCGGGCGGCGGGGGACGGACGGGCGGGGCAGCCGTGGCGTGCCACGGCGCGGCTGAGGGGGAAGCGGTATTGATGCCGGCGGCCGCGCAGTTTGATGACCTTTCAGAACAAGCAAGACCGCCTAGTGTCTGTTTATTCGCGCCGAGTGCAGCTGCACCCGCTCGCCTGCCTCCACAATGGCAGCCATGACTTCGTCGTCCAAGGGAATGCCAGCAGGCGCCGCGCCGCCGTCGACGGCAACCAGCGGCGGTGCCGCGCCCGCGCCCGCTGATGCTGCAGCCCCCTCGGCGGCGGTGGCCTGCGCCGAGGCGCCGCGGCCGTGGCGGCGGCCACCCCCGGCCCCGAGCTCAAAGTCCGGGCTGCGGTTTCGGCGGGACAATAGCGTGATAAGGGCATGTCCGCTCGGCGCGGCAGGCGCAGTAGGCGGGGCAGGCGTGGCAGGCGGCCGCCTGCCACCAGCAGCACGTCACATGAGCTGTGTGCTGCTGCTCATATGTCCTAGGCAGAGCCTTGCCAACCAGAAAGTACAATATATTTGATCGTCAGCGAATTCACCCCTTCGCAGCCGCAGCACGCACTCCTCGTCGTCTCGTTGCCGCCTTGTCGCCGACTTGGCCGCTGCTCCTCCCTTGGCACCTGCTTTGCGTCCCATCGAGCTGCTCTATGGCCTTCCCCCTGCTACTGCAGTAAAGATATTTTGGCCTTAGGCCTGATCGAAATGCCTGCAACCGTCCCACTACTGGCTGGGTGGCACGTACGGCGTCAACAACTACACTGCGAGTGTCAGATCGTCGCTCCGCTGCGCACTGCTTTGACATGTGAATGTTGCGCGACCATTATCGCCATTGATACCGGTACACTCAAGAGGTGGTGTCGAGGGTGTGCGTTCTCGGCCGACCTATCGTCCGTGCAGTCGTCACGGCGTTCTTTGTGGTATGTGGAAGCGGAATGGAGTAGACGGCAATGACCAGTGTGTGGCCAAGCTCTGGTCGTGCTGATTCAAGGTCATCACGTCGCTGCGCTCACTCACCACACCACTCAAGCTGCTGCTCTGCCGATTTGGATGTGCACGTGCAGCCGCCGGCGGCAAGTTCCGCCGCATTGCGTCGTACGCTACCATACGTAATTCCACACCTCTGCCAGTGGTTTGAGCAGGCTTATGCGAACCCGGCGGCACATCTATTGGCGCCATTGTGCATGCTGACTGTGTGCATGATGTTTGTGTTGGCGTGCCCTCTGCAAGGCTGCCTGCGATACTGGTACATCTTTGGCTCGACGTGATCGAACATTGCTGGTGCATGAGGTAGTTCTCAAATGGATAGGTGCAATACAAGCCATGGTGGTAAGTTTGGTGCTGCATCGGTAGTGATGAGTCAAGTCAAGTGCAAGTCAATTGTGCGCCATCGGAACGTGCACATTGGGCACGCCCCTCACCACAGACACCTTTGAAGAGTGCATCTCACCACTACCAATTGCACCCCGCGCATTTCACAGGCTTCAGGGGATGGTGAAACTGCCCTATAGCCGTGCACCTTCTAATTGCATTTTTACGTGTCTCAGCTGACTTGTCATCCAACACGTGTGCCGCTGGCACCCTCTGGATGTGTGGTAGTCTCCAAGCCTTTGCATATCTGCAGACAGGTGGCTCTTCATGGTAGAAGTGCGCTGCTGCTGCTGCTGCTGCTGCTGCTGCTGCCGCTGCTGCCGCTGCTGCCGCTGCTGCCGCCGCTGCCGCCGCTGCCGCCGCTGCCGCCGCTGCCGCTGCTGCCGCCGCTGCCGCCGCTGCAGCCGCAACGCCATCAATTGCTCTATAACGTGCAGCACAAGGCTCGGCTGTCGTCCATCCAGCTGCTGCTCGACGCACGGCAGCGTATGGACCGGCCCTCTGCAGCACCAGCCCGTGAAACAGCCGCCCCCTGGAGCATGCAGGCGACACAATAAAGCAGGTCAGAGCGGGTAGGCGCATTGAACGCCGCCGCTTGGTAGTCATCCAGCTTGAGACGACCTGCGGCGTACCTGCCCGCACAGCGTACGGGATCCTCATTGACCCACCCGATCCTATCAGCATGGGGACAATTAATCCAGAGGGGGGATTGGCGCCCGTGATAAGGCTCACGGGCAAAGCCGAACAGCTTGGCGATCGGATGCCGGGGAAGGCTTGGCGTACAGCTTAGGGGCCTTCACCTGGGGATGCAAGGGGATGCAGTGGACTCTGCGTACTGGACGTGGTCGTGCCTGCGGCTGTGGGGTGGAGAGAGTTGAAACTCTTCATTGAATAATGAATGAAAATGAAGGCTGGGGGCGTATTTGAGCCCGAATCGAGCGGAAAACAGCAAGTCGCAAAGACCGCGAAGCTGCGGGAATGTGCGAAGAGCGGTCGATGGGTCGGTCCAATCCTACAGCAGAGACCGCGACACAGCCTTGAGGCTCGCCGAACAGGCTCCATACACCACAGATCACTTTTGGTGGGGGGCGTGGACCGCGGTTTGACCAGGCCCCAAGCGCGCGTGCGCGCGGCGCAGCGCACTGTGTTGGCAGTGCACATGCACCACGCCCGCACCGGCGCAAGCAGCTGTTGGGATGTGTGCAGTCCACAAATGCCTTCTTTGCCGGTTACATTATCCTGAAAGCCGCGTGCTCTGCTGCTGCTGCTGCTGCTGCTGCTGCTGCTGCTGCTGCTGTTGCTGCTGCTGCCGTTGCTGCTGTTGATTGGGTGCTGTGCGGCGCAGCCGCACAGCTCGTGTAGGCCGTGCAAGCATGCTAGTGTGTGTAGTCAGCCTCAGTGATGTCAGCTTACCGTCTGGTTCGCCCCCAGGCATGCTTGGCTGTGATCTGCTATTTGAGACGTACTACTCATGTACCCGGGCTTGTGGGAGGCCGCACGTTACAGCAACACAAGAGCACATGAGCACTCAGCAGCACATCAAACCTACGACAAAAACCACGCACGGCAGGTTACACGCGTGCACGCCGCAGGCGCGTGCACGCCACAGGCGCGCACGCTCAACGCCAGCGCCCCATTCGCAACAGCGCCGCCTGACAGCTGCTCTTTAGCAAGGGGAAAGCCTCACAACCAAGGGCGCGGCCGCGGAAAAATTAGCAAACGCCGCGGGCCGAACGGCGCGGGCCGCTGCACGCGGCCATGGCGTCCGAATCCTGCCGGGGTGCGGATGGCCTGGGTGACACTCGGGGTGGTGGCGCTCAAACGAGGCGTGGCACCCGAAACGTGGTGGCACTCGACGAGGCGTGGCACTCAAAGAGTGGTGGCGCTTAGAGGGTCCAGGGGAATGTGGGGACGGAGTCCTTCTGGTCGCCCTTGAGCGCCTTGGTGGCGTTGATGATCATTGGCCACACGGCCAGGGCCGCCACAGCCACGGTCGACTCGGGGCCGACGCTCGAGGTGAAGACTGCGTGACAGGGTGGTGTGACGTCACGGGGGAATGAGGTGTGCGCGTGCAGCATGAGGTTGTGGCAAAACCTGCACTGAAACCGGCTGTTTTTGGGTGCGCTGGTGATGCAGTGCGACTAGATACGTGAGCTTTTGGGAAACGAACCGCATGTCGGGCGTGAGGGTGTGCCACAGTCCCACGGGCGAGGCAGGCGCGGGCGCGGGCTGCTCACTGTTGTTGTTCCAGGGGTCGGCGATGTGGTCGGTGAGGCTCTGGATGGGGCCGGTCCCCCGGACGGCGGCCTGGCTGGCGAAGCCAACAACCGCCAGCATGGCAAGGCGGCCGTTCTGGGGGACAAGGAGGGATCGGGCGCGCGGGCGCAGTCGGGGCAAGGCAGTTGGAGAGCGGCAGGGCCTTGGGTGGCCTGCAGGCTTGCGGTTGGCAGTTGCGTATGATTGGGACACGGACAAAAGAGCACACTGGTGAGCCGTGTACGCATAGCACGACACAAGCATGACACAGCGCAACATCACACATGTGTTGCACGTAGATAGCCATTTGGTATGATATGTTGGTATCTCAGATCTCAGATCTATGGCGCACCTTGATCTCCTTGAGCTGGGTGTCGGCGCTCTTCATGCCCAGGGGGTCGAAGGGAACGATGCCGAAGGCACCGCTCTGCAAGGCGCAAGGTTGTTGGTGGGGTTGTGGCAAGTCCAGCTGACAGCAAAACACCCAATCACCTGCGGTGCTGATGACTCAATCGCATGGATGCGGCTACAGATCACGGCGGAAAGAAAACTGCATGCCGCTGTGTC